GAAAAAACAAAAAGCAAAAAAAAAAAAAAAAAAAAAAAACCCTCTACCAAAAAAGAAAAACAAACAAATAAAAAGAAATGCAATTTGAGAAATAATTTGCCAGAGTGGCTTCCTTGTGTGTGGAAGTACCCCAATGGTGTACATGAGAAGAGTTCTCATAATTCTCTGTGATAGCTACGTGCCCCTTTGTGGATGATCCCAGGATTTCAGAGCTCACGGTGTGGCCATGATTTCTCATTTTCCCTCTCTCTGTCTCTCTCCAGTGAGAGCACACGCCCTTGCATAAATAAATAAATAAATAAATAGTTAAAAATTGAAGAATAGCTAGGGCCAGCCTTGTAGCACACCAAGTCAAGCACTGTGCATTGGGAACTAGATCTCATTTGGCCAACTACATTTCAAATCCCAGCCCCAGCAGCTTGAAAAAAAAAAAAACACCAGGCCCATGCACGTGCTTGTCCAGTATCTTGACAGGATGAAGAAATGGAAGAAAAAAGGATTATGGCATGACCACACTTTCTTGAGGGGAACTTTCTCTCTCATATGCACCCTCAGCCAAAAAATATTAAGAATGGTAAATAATGATAATAATACCTATTTCATAGCCCTCAGTAGTGCACACTGGTGAATGCTGCTACTCAACAGGCAGAGGCAACATGGGAGGCCCAGGCTCAATTTCCGGCCCACCATGAGAAACTAGATACAGGGTTGTGTGCCTGTGGCCCCAGCTATTCAGGAGACTGAGTCAGCAGGATTGAGAGCTCACAGTCAGGTGGGCAGCATGGCAAGACCCTTTCTGAAAGAACTGGATCTGATGATGCACACCTGTGGTCCCAGCTACTTGGGGAGGCTGAGACAGAAGGTTTGTAACATGACGAGACCCTGTTTAAAAATACATATGATATAGATATATATAAACACATACACACACACACACATATATACACACATATATATAAACTTTATAGAGTTGCTTTGAGTCTTAATTTCCACAATTAAAGCACTTAGAATAATGTCTGGCATGTTAGTTAGGTTTCAGTAGTTATCAGGTATCACTGTTCCATATACATTTACAGTTATGCATCACTTAACTACAGGGATACTATCTGAGAAATGCATTGTCAGATGATTTTGTTGTTGTGCAAACATCACAGAATGCGCTTACACAAGCCTAGATGGTGCAGCCTTAGACCTAAGCTGTATGGTATAACCTCCTGCTTCCAGGCTACAGACCTGTCCACATATTCCTATACTGAATACTGTAGGCAGTTGTAAACCTGTGGTAAGTGTTTGCATATCTAAAAGGAGAAAAGGTACAATGTAAATACAGTACAAAAGATAAGAGAAGATACACTTCTACAGACACTGTGAATGGAGCTTGCAGGGCTAGAAACGGCTCTGGTGAGTCAGTGAATGAGTGTGAGTGAATGTGAAGGCCTACGGTAATACTGCACACTGCTGCAGACTTTACAAACCCTGTGCACTCAGGCTGCACCAAATTTGTTCAAAAATTTCTTTAAGAGTAAATTAAACTAGGGCCAGCAGGTGGCATGGTGGTTAAGGCACTGGACTCCCACATGAGTGACTGCAGTTTGAGTCCTGGGCCTGGTAGCTTGCTTTCTCACTTTCATGCTCTCTCTCTTTCTCTGTCTCTCTCTGGTGAGCAAGCATGCCCTATAGCAAATTAATAATAATAATAATAAATAAAATGAAATAAAGAATTATTTTTTTAAAGATTTTTAAAAATAAATAATAAATTAAACTGCTCATGGCAACATTTTTCCTTTATAAACTTGAAATTTTTAAACCTTTTGACTATTGTGTAAAATTTATTTTTAGCTTGAAACACACATTTTACAGCTGTACAAAAATGTTTTTTCTTCATATCCTTTTTCTGCAAGTTTTTACTATTCATAAAGTTCATATATACTTTCTTTTTTTAAGAATTATTTATTTAATTCAATTTGTTATTATTACTGTTTAATTTGATCAGAGAGAGTCAGAGAGAGAGAGAAAGGGAAAGGGAGAAAACAAGCCGCTAGGTCCAGGACTTGAACAGCAGTCAGCCAGGTGGGAAGCCAGCGTCTTTAACCACCACACCACCTGCTGGCCCCTATATATACTTTCTTTTTATTTATTTATTTATTTATTTATTTATTTATTTATTTATTTATTTATTTGCTAAAAGCTAAGACACACACATTAGCCTAGGCCTACACAGGGCCAGTACCTTCGATATCACTATCTTTCACCTCCACATCTTGTTCCACTGGGAGGACCATGATGAGCAAAACAACATGAGATTATGTAATCCAGAAACACAGAGGGATCAGCAGATGGCAAAGCAGTTACATCACTGTACTCCCACATCACCAACTATGGTTCAAGTCCCAAACCTAGTGGCTTCAAACTCACACTGGACACATGGTGCCCAGAACCCTGAGAGGAGAATAGAGGAGAAAGGTATAGGAGTTTGTTCCCGCCATTATAATCTTATGGGGCTGGGCCCAGCAGTTAGTGTAATGGCTATGTCGCTGGACTCCCACGTAGTTGACCACGGTTTGAGTCCCGGACCCGGTGGCTTAAACTCACGCCATGCACGTGTGCGTACGTGCCCAAGATCTCGAGAGGAGAATGGAGGAGAAGGGATTGTGGCATGGCCATCCCCCCTGAGGGGTGATTTCTCGTTTTCTGTCTCTCTTTCTCTGTCTGTCTGGTGAGCGCACACGCCCTATAGCAAAACCCTCTCCAAAAAAAAAAAATCTTATGGGGCCACTGTCAACCATGCCGTCAGTCACTGTCCACAATTCTGTTATATAGCCCAGGGCTGTATTTCTTTTTCTCTTTGATTCATATGTTCTACTCAGAAATGTGTAGACCTTATGAAATTTTTAGTTGAAGTTTGGATACTTAAGCACAAATTTCAAAACAGCCCAGCTTCAATCATGTTCTTAGTCCTCAAGCTATAGGGAATGTTCTTTTAGGAGGCAGATATTAACCTAAACACACATTTTTAAAGTCTCCCTTAATGTTAATTTCTACATGACATATTCTTTGTTCTTATAGTGTAGACACTAGACCTTTTAGTATATTCCTAATGTGAAGAAGCTCAGTTACTTTACTAAAAGCTTCTAACAAACAAAAAAAAGCTTACTGTTACAGGGCAGGCAGTTGTTAGGTGAGAAATTGCAATACCCAGGTGGCATTTTGAAGGTCTCTTGCTAATGACACCAAAAGCCAAATTATTGATTGCTCTGAAATCAGAGGTATGAAAAATGCAGAGTACCCCAAAAATAAGAGTGTGCATTTAGATTTAAATGTCAGAATTTCCTTATATTCATTTTTATTCTTCTAGTATTTTCTTCGCTGAGTCTTGGCCTGCTTCCAGAACGGTCTGCTACTCTAATGGTATATGAAGATATTGTCCAAATAGTGTCAGGATTCCAAGGTATGTTGAAATTTTTAAAATTATTATTACTAATGTTATTTGTAACTGGCAAGAATAATTGAATTCATTATGGAGTAAGATGTGACATGATGATATACATATACAGAGTGGCATGATTAAGTCAAACTAAGGCATCACCTCATTAACCTATCATCTTTTATGGTGAAACATTGGAAATTTACGCTCTGTTATTTTTAGTGTATTAATTTTTAGAAAGGGAAGTACGGTAACTTTTGAGCCAACTTCTGAACTCCTGTGAGAGACCCACTTATTGTCAGATGGCAGTGGTAGTGAATTTATTTACAGCTAGGGTAGCTACGTCTGCTGCTCCTATCAGAGTACAATGCACGTGAGTTTTTGTTAAACTGTCAGTAATTGTATTTCCCTTAGGCCCATCCTTCAAGGGTGTGTAGGAAAAGAAGGCGTGCCCCACTCTGCCCACTGCCACATCTCTTTCCTCCTATAGAGAGATTATTCCTCTTGTGTGGGTCAGAGTCCAGAACCTCATTTACCAGTGGACAAGGCCACTCTCAAAAGGTCAACAAACGTATGAATATGGCTTTTGCTCTCCTGGTGTTTTTAAAAATGTCTCTCCCATGTGGGGATGTCTGTAAATATGACCTCACCCCTCTGACTCCTGCTGCTCTTACAGAGGAGCTGATACAGAATGTTCCAGAGATTAGCCCTCTCGTCGGTATTGCAGTTAGAATTAGTAGTAGTAATGTTTGTGTGAAACTTTATTCCTGTGCTGAGATCTTTCTACTGCAGGCTGCATCTTGGGCCTGAGAATGATATTTTATGGCTTTGCATGTTTCCTTAAATTAGGTTTTCATTTATGTTATTCATTATTTTAATAACATTGTATGCCCATTATTCTCTATTGAGCTAAATTCATGTGCCATTTGCAAATGAAGTGAACTCATTTACTCCTTTTTTGCTGAGTAGCTGTGGGGAGCATTAGAAGAGTTTGACATGCCACCATTGCTCTTAGAGGATAGAGTTGAAGATAAAATAAGTAGAAGCGTCTAGCAGCATTTGTGGGAGAGAAAACAGGAATAGAAATATAGATTTTGGCACCTACACAGTGAAAGCTACAGTTGTAATCTTGTTGGCATTCTAAGGGAGGAGAGCTACATCTGAGTCTTCAGCACCCCTTTTCATTAGAACCATACTGTAGCCTACCCCATTGACCTTGGTACCCTCCAATTTTTCTAATAACTTTGCTATTTTTTAAGAGAGATATTTCCTGTAGGGTGTGTGCACTCATCAGAGACAGAGACAGAAAGCAAGAAATCATCCTCCGGAGGGGATGACCACGCCGCAATCCCTTCTCCTCCATTCTCTTGGGATTTTGGGCACATACTCACATGCGCCCAGTGTGAGTTGTAAGGGACCCAAACCATGGTCAACCATGTGGGAGTCCAGCAATGTAACCATTCCACCATCTGCTGGTCCCTAGCTTGACTATTATTTTATTATTGTTATTATTATTTATTAGCTATCATTAGCTTTTTTTTCATTCACTTTGTATGCTAATGGATTTCCTAAAATGAAGAAATCATTTTGCTTTCTCCTCATGTTCTTCACCAAGGTAGGAAGATTGTGTGCCTACACATGGGGTCTTCAAAAAGTTCATAGAAATGCATACAATTAAAAAAAAATGCAAGGCTTTCAAAAAATATTGCACCAAGATAAACTTATTCTTTAATTCCATTTCTCTATGAACTTTATGAAGTCCCCTCATAAAATCTGGCTGAACCATTTTGTCTTGATCAAAATTTAGTTCAGTTGAAAATAACAAGAAAAAAGGTTATAATTAATGCCCTGATTCAGACAAGCTATGCTCACCTGTTTATTTCAGCGGAGAGATTAGGATAGTCAGAGTACAATTTTGAGCTGACACCAGTTCTTCAATTATCATATGGAAATTACCAGGCACTAAGTGAGGCTTCTGGTTTCTTTGGAGATTGATAACCTACTCACCGTTGCGCTTCCCAAAGTGCAGAGTGTGTGGAGCCTGCCGGCTCCGCTGATTTGGCCTGCTGGAACTCTGCTGATCCTGACGGGGACTGCATGCCTCATGCCTACCTGGCAAGGGCTAGCACGAAGGCATTAGACAGGGATTTTGACAGGCATGCCACAGCAGTTGGGCAAGGTGACTTCATAGAGCCTGTGGAAAAATGGAATTAAAGTATGAATTTATTTTGGTGTACGTATAATTTCTTCATAATACACATTTTCCATGAGCTTTTAAAAATATTGCCAGAAGACATGTGCACTTGCCAGAGAGAAAGGGAAAAACAATTACCCTCCAACAGGGCATAGTCATACCACGATCCTTTTTCCTCCATTCTCCTCTTGGAATTTTGTGCACACAAGCCCATGACTCAGCATGATCTTCTATCCACCAAGTCTAGGCTTCAAACTACAGTCTGCCATGTGCGATCTGGATTTCTTAACCATGAGACTGGGGCCCAGCCTTTCCATGAACTCTTTTAAGACCCCTTGTATCTTTTTTTTTTTCATGTATGTCTTAAGAACCATAATTCTTTTCCACAGCCTCAAAGACTTTGATTTTTTAATTAAAAAAAAATTTTTTTTATAAAAACCTTTTGACCTAGTCTGGGTTACATAGTGTTCTAAGGCCTACAGCCACTGAAAACGTCTTCAACTACCTGTGAATTTAAAAACGCCTGTCTTCCTTCTATTAGTCCTTCTACTGTACTTGAGTTTTCCTGAAAACTGTCATCTTCTGTCTTTCTAATGGTTTTCATGCTTTGTTTCAGTTTTCTACTGTTTTCTCTGAATTTCCCATTCTTTTCTCCAGATGTTGGTCTACCTTCAGGAGAAAACTCTAGTGGCTAGGCAGCTGGGCAGTGTAGACCTATCTCTGGCCTTCAGCAGCTGATCAGTTCCAAAGGGAATAGCTGGGGCTCAGCCTTGCAGATCTCTGAAGAGAAGACCCAGGACCGCAAAGAGATCTTGTTCAGTAGAACCTACCCCACTACCTGCTGGACCCCTTCCTGTGTCCTCTGAGCTTGGATAATACCTTCAGCAAACTCCCACTGTCTCTTCTCTGAACTTGGCCCTACACTGTCTCTCTGGTCTTGATTGTCCCTGAGGACACAGCCTCCCCTACGGGAGCCTTCTCAGGTGGCAGCTAGATTTTCACACTGAGCTCTGGTTGCTTCTGTCCTTTCTTCTTTTATAACTGCAGATGCTAAGAGGCTGGCTAGGCCACTGCCCACCAGTTTCTGGGTTAACTTTCCCTTCTGACTGATGACTCTAGCTCCTGTTCCCTAGTTCCTCTGCTCCTCCTGCTATTGTAACTGTTCTATTGGACCTTCACACCATGTGGTTGTCCCATCCACCTGCTACTGTTCACTCCAATGGTGCTGTTCTTCAGTCACCCACCTCCACAGTCACACTGTCGCCCTCACTCCAGCAAATGCAGCACATCTGAGCTCAGCATATCCCGCCCAGCTGCTGCAGGACACCAGTGAGGCCAGTGGTACATTGGCTCAGCACATCTGTAACACTATAATTGTCTCCCTGTACTTGCAGCCCTCCCTGCCCAGCCTAGATGCCATGGTTCATTGTCATCACTCCCTGCAGACACCTCAGAAATCTTGCTCCTCTCTCTCTCTCTCTCTGCCATCTTTGTCTATCAACATAGATCATGACCCTGGTTGACCCCTGCCCTCCTGGCTGCACTGGAACAGCTGCATATGGCTGGAGGACACCTCCCTGTTATGTCATCTGGTTGCATGTCTGATTCATCACCACAGATCTTAAATGCACACTCAGCCTTATAGGACAGAGGACAGGCACTTCCTAGGAACTTGGTGCCTGACTGTCCAAGACTGTTCCACGCCGATTCCTCTATCTTCCAGCTTCCTGGAAGTTCACGCCCCCACCACCACCACCACCACCACACCATCTCTGCTGACGACATCTCTCTATACTTCACGAAGAAAATAGAAGCCCAGAGCCTTTGTCTTAACCACCAAATCTGCAAGCCTGTCTGCTGCTTTCTTGTTGCACCAGATCACATGTCCCTCTCCTATCCCAGGCCATCTCTCTGTACTCCAGATGTCTTCTTTTCTCCTTTCCCCAGGACTCCAGCCCCATCGTTTCCCCCTGCACCTTCATTTCTCCTACTCTGTAGTGGGCAGATGTCCAAGTTTATGCATCTTTAAAAAAAAAAAAAGTTTATGACCATATTCTGTCCCAACTGCTGCCTGTTTCTCTGCTCTCTTCTTGGAAGAGCTGTCTGCACTCCCCTCTCTGCTTTCTCACCTCTCATTTCCTCCAAGCATACTCCACTCCAGACTCATTCCCCATGGCTCAGTGAGCATGCAGTTGACCGGTCATGAGGTCATCTGGGCCCACACCCATGCAAGGCCCCTGTAAGCCAGCTAGAAGGGAACAAAAAGTATGAGTTAGCAGAGAAAGATACCCAGTAAGAAGTCAGAGACAGACTGGGGGTTTGTGGAGTGTGTCCTGGTGAGGGCACAGCCTGAGAGAAAAGTCCACACACTCCTGCTGTGCCGTCTTAGAGCTGCCCTGAGCTTGGATCCAGCAGTTCTCACGTCTGGGCCTTTGGTGCCCTTCACCGCCTATCCTTAGATTCCTCTACATCTCTGGCTCCCTTGTTGCCCCTCACGTCCTTATCAGTAACTAAAAGTAACCCTCCAGCTAAGCATTCTGGCTCTCTTTATTATTACTATTTTTGTTGGTTTTTTTTTTTTTTTTTTTAAGTTTTTGCTGTAGGGCATGTGCATTCACTGGAGAGGGAGGGTGAGAGGGAGAGGGAGAAATCACCCCCTGGGGGAAATGGCCACATCACAATCTATTCCCCTCCATTCTCCTCCTGGAATTTTGGGCACAGACGCACACATGCGTGGTTTGATTTTCAAGCCTCCAGGTCTGGGACTTGAGCCACAGTCAGTCATGTGGGAATCCAGAACCTTAACCACCATGCCACCTGCTGGCCCCAT